ACGAGTCACTCAAGAGCGGATTGCTTTCGCAAATTACTAAATCATAATTTAAAAATCTGATTCCATGTTTATTTCGAATAATCAGATTTTCATTCCTTTTTTATTTCCATATAAAAATTTCGCTGAAATTCGATTTCAATTAATATAAATTTAAATTTGTTTGTAATGTGTAAAAGGAGTTTCTATTATTGAAATTCTATAAACTATATTTAATCTTGATGTAGTCTGAGAACAACGTAAATGAGATTTTAAGAAATAAGCAACGTGATAATTACTATGAAATTTCAGTAGCTCCCATATTCCAATAATATTTCCACAATATTTGGTCTACGTGTTATTTGTATAAAGAAACTTCTAACTGAAAAAAAATAAACTAAATATTCATCAAAACTAATCCGCTTACAAAATATGTAATATTGCTTTTATGTTTCTTATTTCGAAACAGCCATTTTGGCTTTCATGTTCCTCTAAAAGGATTTTTTTCTTTTAGGTATACGAGTATATTCATAAACAGAACTTATAAAACCGTTGTTATTCATAAGAATTATTTAAATAAAAGTAGTAATGAATACGTTACAAACTTTTAAAATATTAGGGACCATGCCATCATCTCATCACCATCATCATCATCATCATCATTTCAGCCGAAAGACGTCCACTGCAGGACATAGGCCTCCCAAAGATCTCCACGATTACCGGTCTTGTGCCACCCGCATCCAGCGGATTCCCGCGACCTTCACCAGATATGGTATGTATGACCAAGTCATATGTAAAAATAATTTCTGTACAAAGCTACCTTAGGAGTTAGTTTTAAGTTAGTATAAGGTTCATCAATCATCCTCATTATCACCCTTTGCTCTTGGGAGCTGGAGGACCGCTGTATCAAATCGCAAAAGCCCTCCAGCCCCTCGGGCTCTTCATCGTTTCATCACATAGTTTTAAGTCTTTTAAACATCTATTACTTTTACAAACATATGTTAACGTGTCTACTTTGTATATCTCTTGTGTCTACTTTTTATTTCTCTTGTGTCTTTTACCCCCTGTGTACATCTATTTATACCTTACCCTTAAGCAATAAAATTATATAAAAAAAGCTACCTTAGGGGTTGTCTTAAACCTATGTGGAAGTTGTATGTCAGTATATTGCGTTTTGTTATTTTCATGATTTACTACGAAAAATAGCACAATATTTGTAGTAAAATTTATATATTAAGCTTTCGAGACGTTCTGTTTAAAATATTTTCTTGTTTATAGTTCGGACCAATTGATAATATGTAATAGGAGTAATGACACCAACTCAATAATGTTAAAATTCAATTCATTCAATCGTGTTAATTACATTGTATCTAACTAAAAGCTTGCTCTAAGGTTTTTGCTGAAATAGAAAGGTAGTTTAAAACTAGGAGAGGTACATAATTTTCATCCCGTTTCACTGCAAAAGAAAAGATACTTAATAAAATCCAAAATCTGGTTATTTACGGCCCCTACGGGGGAATGGAGTTCGCTCGGTTAGCAATACATTTCTAATAGTACGTACAAAGTAGCTCGGATTTCTGATTTTTTTTTGTTATGAATGTTGTGTCATGAGAAGGTTCTTATGAAAGGATAAATCAAGAAAATTGGGCGGAATGCTTTAAATTCAGTGATAAGTAATAATTACCTTAATTATAAAAAAAAATGCTTTTTGCATATTTTACACAGGTAAATGTTAATTGTTTGACAGTTGTCAGTCTGTTGTTCAGGCAGATTACATTCATTTAATGTAATTTTTTAAAATCTCACAACTCTAGAGTAACATTTTGTTATTTTTTCCTTTAGTTACGTTATATTAATGGAAAATATGGACTTTATTATGGAAATTCACGGTCTATTGTTTTAAAAAGGGATTATATCTTTACCTAGCACTACACGTTAAATATAAAGAGTCCTCTTCGATCAAAACAAGAAAATATTCGGAGTCAAAAGTCCCAAAAAAAGGGGTTTTCATAGATTTTGACCACATTTACTTGGTGTTACAATTGTAGATGCATACATAGGTAGCTAACACTACATATACAATAATAAATAAGTCCATACATAATTGACTATAATACCAGTCTTCATAGAAAAATGTTTTATGTATTGTTTGGTTTAGTTCAGAAAACATGTTTTTCATAAATCATATTTCTAACAACCTTTTATTGTTATTACGCTATTAGTCATAGACCACAACTCTTAGTTCTAGATGTGGAGACCGCGTTTAGTGCCCGTTTTTATTAACAATGTCACTAATTCCATACATACACTTGTATTTTACCGAATAGATCTTTGATGTCAGGTGAAGTAAAGTTGTCTAGGTGGATAATAAGATGGGGATTCACAATTCGTAAGACAGGATCCAGTAAAATTTATGTGGTATCACAGTGAGGAATTAAAATTTCCTCTTCGCTTAAACTACCACAGTAGGCAGATAATTTTTATGGGCTCCTTAGCGACTCACTTCTGAAAATTTGCAAATTCCATATTCAATATAAAATATCTAAAGACTTAATTCATTTCCATTGTAAGTAATTACTTCTGTTTTTGTAGCAATTTTTAAATGTAGAAACCCAATTTTTAAAATGGCCTATGAATAAAAACGATTTTGAACCTCTGTAATAGATTAAAGTTTCAAAGTTTAAAAGGTAGGAGCAATTTAGAGTGTCAAATTAGTGAATTGATTGCACATTAGACTATATTATTTTTGTGTTACAATGCCTCTTTTTACTCATATAGTTTCGAAATACACAGATATGATTTTAGTTTGTGTTTTTTGTTATTAATTGCGACTAAAAACACCCAAATGACTGCGTCTTTTTCACTTTTGATACGTGTCACGTGACACAGCGATGTTACCGCTTTATCACATGTCAGTCACCCGATATTTACAAATGACGTTATATTCTGTTTCGTTTTATTACAACGTCACGATTGATTGAATAGTCTCTAAACTTACTTATGTACTTTCATAACAAGTGGTTTCATTCATTATCATATTGTCCTTTCCAAGTAGTGTTAATATATGTAATTTTTTTTCTTAAGAGCCCACATATGATAAAACGATTTTAATGTTGAAAGAAATGTTTTGATATGCACATCGTATAACGAAGCTTTTAAGGAAGCGTATTTAGCATTTTCTTAATGTGGTTTTCCTGGTAGGCTTATATCACGGATGTAGCGATTCTGTTTGTTATAAAAGCTACTTAAATCGGACAATTTATCTTTCTGATCCATAATTCTCTAATACTTTTGCTTCTTATTAATTGCGTCCTCTTCATCATATGTGCGACTAAACTTCTAGTAAAAATACACATCTAGTCATGTATCTTTGTTGGTATCAAATGAATTGAGAGTTTCGTTCAAAGCTCAAGTGGCTCCCTATACGCCGTCGCCGGAACCTGCATACTCTTTCTCTTCTGTACTGTGTGTTATTTAATCCAAATGCTCCTCAATATCTGAAGGAGAAATTTGAATTTGTAGGAGATCAGTCCAGAATGCGACCAGCACGTAGGCTCATTCTGAAAATGCCTGCTCATAACAGTAAATATTACAGCAAGTCGTTCACTGTTCAGGCAATAACTCGCTGGAACGACCTACCATTGAGCATTCGACTGTCTAAAACCCTATATGCATTTAAAAACTCCTTAAAGAACCTATATCTCTCATCAGAGTAATGATGACGACATGATTATGACAAATGTATGTATTATGTATATATATATATATATATATATATATGTATTTATATGTTTGTATGTATGTATGTATTTATTGATATACGAGGTGTGTTCAAAAAGTATCGCGAATTTTGAATTTTTTCGGGTTACGTATAATCGAATTTCGATTTTTTTGTGGTTTTATGTTGGTACTCATGTCTGTCACTTATGCCGACAAGCTCGGCCATTTTGAATGTTCACTTAATTGTTGACAGCTGTTTTGCTTGCACGTGTTTTGGATCGTCTTCGATTTTTACCATGGATCAAAGAACCTGTATCAAATTTTGTGTGAAAAACGAAATTAAGTGCGCGGATGCATTCCGAATGTTGACTGTGGCATACGAAGCTACTTTGGACCGAAGCAACGTTTATCGGTGGTACAAAATGTTCTCAGAAGGCCGAGAAGATGTGAACGACGAAGAGCGTGCCGGACGGCCGAACACTTCAACAACAGACGAAAAAATTAATGAAGTGGAGAAAATGGTATTGGTCAATCGTCGAATCACCGTTAGAGAAGTTGCTGAGGACCTAAAGATATCGATTGGCTCGTGCCATTAGATTTTAATCAATGATTTGGGCATGAGACACACACTTTGATCCATGGTAAAAATCGAAGACGATCCAAAACACGTGCAAGCAAAACAGGTGTCAACAATTAAGTGAACATTCAAAATGGCCGAGCTTGTCGGCATAAGTGACAGACATGAGTACCAACATAACGCCACAAAAAAATCGAAATTCGATTATACGTAACCCGAAAAAATTCAAAATTCGCGATACTTTTTGAACACACCTCGTATGTACGTATGTATATTATTGAATATTTCTTACTGTTATTTATTTTTGTATGTGTGTAGGTTATATTTATTTTAAGAATATCTATTGTTGTACCACCCTACACTGTCTTCCAAACGCAATCCTTAACCCCAGGTAGCCTGGAAGAAATGGCTAATAAGCCATAAGGCCGCCTTTTGTTTCACCGTTAGTTTTAAGTTTGTATTTTTTGTAATTGTCTGTATTGAAATTGTGGTGTGCAAAAAAGTATTAAATAAATAAATTAAATAATAAATTGTCAAAAGATCAAAATAGGTCCACAAACGGAACTACATAGTATATGTTTTTGCGTATAAATTGATATATGTACATTTTTAAGTAAAAAGCTCCAGCAATAAGTTATGTTCAAAAAATAAGACAGTAACTCTACGTTATAATTTAGAAGAAGCAGGAAGATTTAGCTGCTCACTAGGAGGGGATTGAACTGTTAAAATGGCAAAGGGTATGTGATGTTTTAATTGTAAATGATAGTGTAGCGAAAAGGAACGACAACATTAACACAATATGCATGAATGTATAATCATAGTTTATAAAGCTGGCCAGTTTGTAGGCTGAATGTAATTTGAAAAGTTTTAATACGTTAATAAGTCCGGGATTTAATAGGTTTAGTTGTGAGAGAGTCATGTATTTTAATGAGGACCCTCACCTCATAAAAAAGTTTATTTTAAATTTCGCAAAGTTAATTAATTTATACAAAAACACCAAATTTTTTTAAGTTTCCAGGATAGGTATATAACTATAAAATTTATTATGGTAGGGATTTAGCATTAAACCTTATATTTTCAGTTGAAAAGTGTTGGTATACGTCTGACCATAGATTATTAAACAAAATAGCGTACTAAAGAAAACTATAAGTGTAAAATATTGTTTATAAATAATTTTAGCGGTATTTCATTATTTAAATAGAAGTTTAGTTTGTAATAATATGAAGATTGAACAACGATTTTTTAGGATTTTATTTTTAAAATATATACCACTTTGTTATACTTAGTGAAATTAAACTTCGTTTTAGGTAGACTTGCAATTTAAAAAGTAAATTTTTATATAAATTGTAATGACTTCTGGAGTATTTCATATGGAGTAACTCACTCCTATAAAACATTTATTATATCCTATATGTGTTCTTTGGGTAACATAAGACGATCAACAAGGTAAATGCTAAGAAACAAAATAGACCGCTGAAAATGATAACCCTCATCACAAAAGACATGGACAATAAGTGAATTTACGATGAGACATGATGTTTATTTAAAATGAAGTCTCGATATTCATCTGAATAATTGAGTTACTTAGGGATCGGTTATAATGGAATATTTATCAGGAACTTAGTCGTCGAAAAATATTTGAAATTACGGTCACTTCTTATCTATCACAGTTATGGAGCTCTTCTAATGATATCATTATTTTGGTATCCATGGAAAGCTGTTTCATTAATTTCAAAGCATCGGCCATATCCTTAGAAATCTTAGTTAAGCATTTTTCAAGAATCCATTCCTTACGCAACTAAACTTACTTGTTTTAAAATGATAATTAATGTGTACACTGTACAGCTGTTTCGAACATTCAGAAGTAATTGTGTCGACGATTGAGTGGAAGTTCAAGGTAATTTTCTTCATTCTATCTAGAAAAACGAATCTCGCATACTTAATGACATGAAAAAGCAATATCTTTTTGATCGCTCGGTGATAAAGCAAGGCAATAAAAAACAACTCCATCATAAACTAAATAATTTATATGAAAATGTTAATTAACAATCAAAGACTAGTTATGAAACGTTTCCTTAAATACGTATTGTTTTTAAATTTTAACGTTGATAGAAATCGAAATATATCAACAGATTTGTTAGGATTAAATGCTTTCATTTCGTTTTATCATCGGCTTGATAACTATATTGTGTAAGTTTCCCATTTCCCTTTATTGTGTAAAAACCACATATTCTTTATATACAATGCAGATATTTTCGACATTTATATTATGTATCTAAATTCTATGTATTAATATTGTGTCTTATATACTAGGGCTATAAAATCAAATGTCAAGCTTTACTCCATCATGAAAGCGGCGTCGGATTGGACTATAATGATGGACACGTATGAAAAACAATATAAAATCCTCGAGGATATTTGTGCGTCGGCTTCCAGACCGGATATATTTTTGTTTTCGCGAATTTTAAAGCGCGTAGTGATGATAGAGCTTACGGTCCCTTGGGAAACCAACATCCCCAAAGACCATACCATCAAGGTCAACAAATATTACGAGCTCACAAACGAACTCACTCGAAATAGGTTCGTAGTAGATTTGTACGTGGTAGAGGTGGGAGCGAGAGGTATAACAGCGAAATCTCTCTACAACCTACTAAAAGACTTGTCCAGAACTCACATTAATGTATTCTTGGAACGTACATCAAAGGCAGCCCTAGTAGGTTCTTTTCAAATATGGTTAGGTAGGGAGAGGAGCTTGGACAGTGGAGGTGAGCGTATAACGCGCGTTAGTTAAGGGGCCCCTTAAACCTACACTTGGGTCGCAAGTCCCAGGCCCTGTTGAAGCTCCTCTCCCTGCAACGCGATGGACCCGGCACCCGCACGGTGAATCCATGGAATGCTGAGAAGTTTCGTCTCTAGTCGTGTTACTTCTTCATAATACATAACACATGATAACGCTTACACAACATCTCGAGCACAAGATGTGAAAGTACAATAATTTGCAAATATTGACTTGTATCTACGTCTCATTACAGTCTTAATAAGATTCCGAGCGGAACAGTAAGGCCATGTAAGATGAAAATATATGAAAGTATTACAAGATTTTATTGTATATAATACTTTTACTTATGTCCTGCGCTTAGCGAGGATATTAAAATTTATTTTCAGTCTACGGTTCAATATGATCCGTCAATAGTGATCATTTTTAATCAAGAATCCCGAATAAATATCAAGTTACAGAAATAAATATTTGGTTATTGAGGCTGGATTTTCTATATAATTCATATTATGTCATAGTACTCGTTTCAAACGGTATATATATTTCTATCAAGCTAATAGTTAATTGACTAAAAGCAATCAATAATATTGAAATCGTGTCCGTTTAAGAAAATAAACAATGCTTGTCTTCAGAAAGAAATAAAATCCTTTACTATAACAATGTTATTTGTGGCCTGAAAAGAAAACAAATTAATGATAAAAATGAGAAGACAGTAAGGAAATATCTAATAAATTTCATATATACCATATTGATAATTTTGAGTGTTTCTGAGAAAAAGGTTTCCAATACATGTTCGTAGAAAGTCGGGGGATAAAATCCTATGAGAATTTCTTCTTTCTTTATTGGAAAGAAACAGTTGTGACTAAAACACAAAGATAAGAAGTTCAAAGTTTCACTTGTATTAAGTGAAATAATGGTATTTTCTGTATTTTTATCGGTGAACAAGAACTGATGTAGGTAGGGTGAAAAGTCGTTTCTTTAAGTCCATAAATAATTGATTTAAATCTGATACGGATTGATTAGATCGATTTTTTGTTTTGACAAATGGCATCACTAATAATTAATATATAAGTGAATATATGTACACCTAAAAACAAAAATTCGTTATCACTAGTTAATTCATATAAGGTTTTCTAGGATGTTTTTTTCCTTTTTAATTTAACTTTGATATTCATGCGAAGGAGTGTATGGCAGTACCGCCAGATACATATATTCTGATTAGTTAAAGTAAGAGTATATTTTAGACTTTCGTGTTCGTATTTTTATTTTTATACAACGGCATCAATTTCTTTTCAATGGCTTTGATTGTCAAATAGCAAGATAAACACATTTAAATATATTTACATAAAAATGTAAATAGGAGGTTTATCATATCTTAAGTTACATTATATCTAGTATTGTTTTTTATAAGAAACGAAATAAAAACAAATGTTAAGTTTTATATTAAATGGAATAACCTGTGACCTGTCATTTAAGTGTTTAGTTTTAAATATGACAGACAGATATAAATATTCAAAAGTGATGGAAATTTATTAACTGGACGCCTAAGTTGTTGTAACCTAAATATTTTTACTCGCAAATCTCACGTACTAACCTATTTAGTAGATCTCATATCGTAGTTATGTTGTTTTAGTTACAAGAATAACATAACACGTAACTTCCATTCATTTTATTTCATATAAAAGTAGAATTATGTTGTGGATATCCAGCACGTACAAAGCTTTTAGTGTCGGTTTAAAAAACATTACCACTTTAGTACTTTAATTTTACCAGCAACGACCTAGTTTATTGCGTAGTTCATTTAATAAACTTAACAGAGCTATCTCAAAGACAAGTAAACAGTGAAGATCTTCATTGTCAATATGAATAGTTATAAAGATGAACATGACATTTGAAAAACGCCTAATCTTTCAAATACTTTAATATTTCCTTTGTAGACTTCACAACGTTTCAAGGCTAAAACATCGCATATAGTTTTTCTTTAACTATATATGTAATATAAGTGTTTGAATTACTGATGAAATTAAAATTATTTCTTTACTTCAGAAGTAAATACAATAGTTCTTAACTTACTACTAAAGTAATAAGATGGTATTGTGTTGACTGTTATTCCTTATGGATAGCAAAACAGCTTGAACTACGACTGCCGCAATCCGACATTGAGCTGGAATGGAAGAGCATAAAAGATGGTATATTGGAAGCGGCAAAGGAAACGATAGGAGAAAAACAGAGAGTCCGACCTGAAGAGTGGTATGACGAAGAATGTCGAGAAGCCTTAGAGCGGAAGAATGCGGCTCGATTAATTTACCTGCAGTCAAAGTCTTCGACGCACAAGGAAAAATTCAAGGAAGAGAGGGATAAAGCGCGTAGGCTTCTGAAGCGCAAGAAAAAGGCGAGTGAGGTAAGGCAGATGCAAGCACTCGATGATGCGGGAACTAGGGGTTCGGTAAGAGCCTTCTTCAAAAAAGTCAATCCTTTGCGTAAGGGATTCCAACCCAGAATTAATATCTGTCGTGACGGGGAAGGCAATGCATTAACCGACAAAACCGAGATCTTAAAGCGATGGCGGGAGTATTTCGACAATCTGCTTAATGTGGGCAGTGAAGCTGCAGACCGCATTACATTTTATGACGTGGAGCAGGAAATTAACCCACCAACCGTTACGGACGTCGAGAAATGCATTAAATACCTTAAAAACAACAAAGCATCGGGTCTGGACACGATAGCCGCCGAAATGGTGAAGACTGCGGGCCCTGAACTAATAGAGCGACTGCACCACCTGATCACGCAAATCTGGCTTGAAGAAACCCTCCCGCAAGACTGGTGCTTAGGTATAGTTATACCGATCCACAAGAAAGGGGACAAGACAGTCTGCAGTAATTACCGAGGCATCTCAGTTCTGTCCGCGGCGTACAAGATGTTTTCTGGGTTGGTATCTTTGGAAATCAGAAGGTATGCCGAAGAAATTCTGGGGGAATATCAGGGTGGTTTTAGACCGAATCGGTCTACGACTGATCAAATCCATCTCATCCGCCAGACTCTTGAAAAGGCTTATGAATATGATATAGATCTACATCATATGTTCATAGATTTCAAGCAGGCCTTCGATAGCGTGAACAGACATAAGATCTTTGATGCAATGAGGTTACTGGGAATCCCAAGTAAACTAGTGCGCCTGGTTGAGGCTACTATGTGTAACTCGAAATCGGTAGTAGCTATACAAAATGACATATCGGACCCATTCGAAATACGCTCAGGAGTAAGGCAAGGAGATGCCCTATCTACTGTTGTCTTCAACCTTACGCTGGAGGCAGCCATCCGAAACGTAGGAGTAAAAGGGCTTTTAGACTATAACAAGAGTCAGCTAGCCGCCTATGCGGATGATATCGTTATCACAAGCAGGTCTCAAAGCAGCATGATCAGACACACCACAACTCTCCAGATGGAAGCGGCAAAGTATGGATTGATGGTTAACGCAAGCAAAACGAAGTACCTTCATAGCACGCGCAACCCTCGTCCACTACAGGATGTCACCATTGGAGATGATACAATTGAATGAGTCAGCAGCTTTAAGTACCTGGGGTCGATACTGTCCAGCCGGAATAAGGTTGGAGATGAGGTGAATGCCAGAATCATGGCTGGCAGTGGATGCTTTTACTCTCTCAGCAAACTTTTCCGATCAAAATACCTTAGTGCAAAATCCAAGCTGTCTATCTATAAGACCATAATACGCCCCGTCACCACCTATGGGTGTGAAGCATGGTCGCTAACAGCTTTGGAAACCCAAAAGCTTGCCGTGTTTGAGAGGAAAGTTCTGCGCAAAGTGTTTGGGCCAGTGAAAGACGCAGACGGTGACTACCGGATACGCATGAATCACGAGCTGGAGGCACTCATGAACCGAGAAACAATCGTCCGATTCATCAAGTCACAGCGTCTGAGATGGGCTGGGCACGTAGAGAGGATGGGCAAAAACAGGGCACCCAAGATTATGACCGACTGGAAGCCGCAGCAAAGGAGACCTAGAGGAAGGCCGAGAAAGAGATGGTGCGACTGCATCGAGGATGATCTCAAGGCTCTGAAATGTTTTACGAACTGGAGAAGGACAGCCAAGGATCGTCGCGCATGGCAGTCTATTGTGGAAGAGGCCAAGACCCACAAAGGGTTGTAGCGCCGAAGAAAGTAAAGTAAGTAAGTTATTCCTTATGAATAAGTAATGTCCACTGATAACCAGGAATAGATGTAGCGGTAACTTTACTAATGTGTCATTTATTAGGTACATATATAAAAAAAGCACACACACAATCTATTGTAACAAATGATTTGCACCTAAATAGTATTAGTAAAATTATTGTCATAATAAACTTAATTTATATAAAATTTTGAAACTAAATATAAATAAAAATTGTTTGTAATAAGAGATTTTCAGAGAATAGATACTTTTACTTGCTACATACCAATTCTGTTACATGATCCGAGAAATTCAATTATTTAATTAGAAATAAATTAATTCGTTTGTGATCCACTGACAAACAGTCATATATGTTATCAATAATATAATATGTTCCCAAGATACATATATTAATTTAAAACACGTTAATTGTAAAGTTTAAAAGTTGTTAATTTTAATACCCGATTTTTCCGATGCTTAAAAAGTAATTACTGTATCAAAAGGTAGCTTGTAGACATTTATGGGTTACATTTACATTAAATTTTCTCTTCCTTATTGGGAAATCTGATGGTATAGGAAGGGTATATTGTTTTACCGGCAAAATATTTGAAAAATTTCATAAAAGTTAGGGAAACTTTTTATCAGTAAATCCTTCAACAAATAATTTATACTGGCCCCTTAAATTGTATATTAATAACATTATTTTGAATCAGGCGATACCTTGGAGAGTTCGGAATAAACGAAATTAATACGAAGTTTATGTCTCTAACAAAGTTATATTAGTTTTTATTAGAGGATCTTATATTTTATTTATCATGTTATCTGGAAGTGAATCAAATTATTCAGACAAATAAAAATTTAAGGTTAATTGATTATATTAAGTACATATATACTAAACTTTTTCTTAATAAAATTAATCAGTGATATAAATATGTCCTTTATATTATATTATATTTGACTTCATATCTTATAAATCTTAAAAAAATATAAATTGTGTGTTTCATTGAATCATTCCTTTCTTATTTACATTTACTCTTTCTTTTAAAATCAATTTTACTTGTGAATGAAATAAATCAAAGACATATAATTTTATGTATCAAAAGTATACGGAACCAAGTGCAACAATATCTGTACAAGGTCATGATACTCTAGATATACTAATTATTTCACTTATCTAGTGATAGTGATTAGTGATTAACCCTAAAATACATTTAGGTGCTATGCCAGAGGTCGCTTTCAACGATAAGACCCGCTTTTTTAACAAAATTTTGTGTATTAATTTTAGGTGATACAATAAAGAGCAGGACTTTTCCCTTATTTTTAAAGATCTCTTATTGAAAAGATCAAATCTGCTAAACCTTTTGAGATTAAATCGTCGACAGATATTATGTATTAGACGAAATTATAACACTCTTCATGTAGAGCGATAAAAAACGTATTACGCATCGAGTAAGTTAGTTTTAAATGTTTGAAACCGGTCAACTCTTTCTCTTAAACGTTTGATACTAACTTCTTGATAATTTAAAAGTTTGAATAACACTATTTGTATTGTTTTGACTAATTAAAGTCTTAATTGTAAGATGTACATTATGAAGTAAGTTAACTGAGACCGCTACCAAATTATAACCCGCTTTTGTTATGGTTACAGTAAGTTCATTTAAAATACGCTTAATAATACAATTAAATATCATAAATTTATAATAAATTTAAAACCACTAGTTGCAGATATATTGAGATTGGTACTACGTGGTAATGAACTGTGGAAATAGCTGACCGTCGTTTAAGTAAAATAAACGCAAGAACTAGATTACTGGGTGGCTAACTTTAATGGGTAATTTGAAAATCCTTCTAACCACAGAACACATACGTTATCTATTTAATTAAGATAACACAGTATTAAATTTCGTATATAAGCAGTCTCAGTAATTTTCTATTACGTCGTAATGAATTCAATTTAGGTGAAATTAATTAGCATCGAAACGTCTTAGATAAATCTACCATACCGGTTTTTTCACCAGAAACCTGAACTTATGATAAATACAAACACAAATGTTACATTCAGTTTTATGAAAAAATTCATTCGATCATACCCACCTTTCCACGGTCATATAACTGAACAAAATTAATATTTTTTCATACAACTGCAAAGAACACAACAAAATTAATGTTTTTTTATGATAAACTCTACTTAGTTTTGTATTTCAGTCGTATGTCTTATCTTTCTTTGTTACGTACGGAGTTGATTACCTAGTCTAGGTTTTTCAAAGTCCATTTGCCAGTAAGCCTTGTGTCTTTTTATGAAACAAAATTCCATGCAATTCTTATAAATTACATTGGGTCAGAATAAATGCTTTTATGTTTTGTTTTAGCAATATGGAAATTTACCAAATTAGTTTTGTAGAGAATAGTAAATGTTATTTTACTAATTATGTCTTATACTCACTTTACATATCGCCTTAATAATACTGCTCGAAGAAAACAACGGGCTTATCAAAATTGTGTTTTGTTTATGTTAAATACTGAAATTATGAAAACAAGAAAGTAACTTTCTTTTTCTAAAATAAATTACACCAAGTGTTGTGTAGACTCTTATTCACGGCGCTTGCTTTGTTTTATTTTCTTTGATTTTAATCACAGCGGAAACTTTTGTTAGCAAATGTTACAATTTAGTGCCGAAAACAGTACGGTCTTACGTCTTAAAAATAGCTTATAAAATCCTTAATTGTGGCCATAAACATTTTTGATTATAATTAATTAAATTGTACTTATTTTACCACACTCTAATCAGGTCCAGTTGATTTTTGTAAATGAATACACCGTTCTAATACGCCCATGACATTAAGTTTGTTAATGTACTATTTGACAGGTGTCAACACCTGGCAGTTGATAAAAAATTACTGTAATTGGACTCAAATTAATTTAATGGAAAACTAAAAAAGAAATGCGTGTTTGAGTGTGCATTTGAACTGGCATATGTGTTTCTGTTTGAAGGTGAAATGATGTATTTATAAACTTATAACTTATTCAGTTCGATATGAAAATTATTCTTGACTGATTTTTGAATAAAATTATGTAAAAACATAACCAGACAGGAAAAAAATCGAAAACTGGAATAGGGTATCCTTTTTAGAAAAAGTGTAGTTTTCTGAACTGGGACATTTTTGTTGTATAGTTGAATGTTTATTTCTTTCCTAGATATAATTGAGGTAGCAAAATACATGGTCAATAAAGTAGTATTTTGACGTGATATCGTACAATACTGTGAGGGGGCTCGAGTTAGTGAAGTGAAACATTAGCAGACATCGCTTAACTCCTTAATTAACACTGTTTTAGACAGGCATTCATTAGCAATGTGTAATTAAAAATTAATTTATTTAACACTTAACATTTTGTTATAATTTTAATCCATATTTTGTTATTGCGTTTATTGAGACAGAGTTTTGAGATGTGTATTTCTCTATCAGTTTCCCTTTAACCAAAACATGCCCAGTTTAGACAAACAATTGAGTTCACTGTGTACCAAATACAGCTCTAAACTACGTTTGTTACCAACGCCTACTACATGTACACGATGTTAGATCAATTTATATTCTAGTTTCAAGCACCCCAGGTGGGAAATGTCTTCTATTATTAAGACCTACCGCTTTGTTATCATGATTGAATTGTTATTTGTGTATATTAATATACATGTACGAATAGACGAGACTATTATGTTAAAAGGAAAATACAAGTACAATATCAGTTTACGATTTGGTTTTTGAACTAAATTTAAAATATGGTCAGCTCTTGTTGAAATGTAAATACAAATGTAACATGCAAATAAATATGAAAAATTTCAATATGTTACTTTTAAGTACATTTAATCTTTTGCTTATAGTTAAAAAATGTATTATAAACTTAATATTCTTGTAACATAATGAAATCTTAATTTTTCGCGAGTTTTATTCATTGAAAGGAAACTAATGTTTTTCGAAAATTAAGTTTACAAGGTTTTATGAAAATGTTACAAGAATGAAACTAATATTTTTCGTATCTACTACGCTACTTTATTTTAGTACATAACTACATACTCCCGACGTTTCGGCTTCTTTAAAGCAACATTGATCACGGGCAGACGAGATGAAAACTAATTCAAATTTACATTTGATAGATTTTTTTATAAATTGTTATGCTATGATAAAATTTGAAATATACAAAAGTCTGCCTGTTAAAAAAAACATTTCACACAAAACTGGATTACACATTTTAGCAGCTTATAGTAAATCATAGAAATAAGTAACGGAAGAAAATTAAGTATATTTTAAAGAAAAATTGCATATTTAAAACAGTTAGATAAACAAATGGTTAAATATTTGAAAAGCCACTTCGATCAGCTTCCTAATTACCCAAGT